CCCTGCCCATGGGCTGCAGGGCGACAACCTGCTTCATCATGGTCTGCACCATGACCCGGGGGACCCTCTGCTCCAGCGCCTGGAGCTCATCCTCCCCCCTCTCCTTCTTCACTGACCTTGGTGTCTTCACAGATTCTCACTCCTCCATCTCTGTGCCAGCTGTTCTGATGTAGTTCTTTTTCCCTGTTTCTTAAATATGTTCTTCACAGAGGCATTCTTCTCCTATCGTTTTACTGACAGGCTCAGCCAGCGGTGGGTCCCTTTTTGGAGCCGGCTGGCATTGGCTCTATCAGACTCAGCTTCTAGCAGCTTCTTGCAGAAGCCACCCCGAGAGCCCCCGCCGCCACCAAAATCCATCCAGGCAAACCCAATACATTCCACCCCTCGTCTCTGTGAATCACATATTTAAGAATTAAAATCTCCATTCAATACATTAACATCAAAAAAGAAAACCAAAGATTCCCAACACCAAAACCCGAAAAAACATCATCTCAACATCAAACAAAACTAAACATACTACATATAGAATCCACCCCTCGTCCCTTCATCACAATCACCAAAAATATAAATTCCCCCAAATCATTCTACTCTTTAACATTACTCAGTCCATGTTTTGCCCGTTACCCCTCTCAACTACTGTCCTTATCTCAAATTCCTCCCTTCCTGGATTTCGATTCCCCGTACAGGCACCAAAAAGACCCATGACAAATATTTTTTTTTACTGCTCAATTACATATATAAGTGAAGGGAATGTTTAAATTTATTATTTATTTACTTATTTATAATCTCATATAGCTAATTTATGGTAGATTTACATTGAATAAATGACTTAACCTGTAGCCAGAAAGTCCTGTAAGTAAAGCAGCATACCAATGAGATTTGTGTGATTAATAACCTAATTTAAACAAGACATTTGGATTATTAAAGTTGAACAAGAAGGATGTGATAGGATTGTGTAAACAGTTTGAAACTAATGAGACCTTCAGGTCGAATCTTAAAGATGTCTGTTGAACTATAGATGCAGGCAGGTATTTTAAAGATTCTCATTGATTTAAACCGGAGGTGGCTCCTATGTGCTCTTGGAGATTCTGCTAAGCACATTTTAAACTTTGGTCAAATTGGGCAACATCAGTTTTCAGAAAGTCTTAGACTTTTTATTTTTTAAGACCAGAAACTGATTTCAGAAATTTCACACCTACTGGTTCTCTGATCTTTTATAACCTGCAAATATTTTTATTCTTTCTTAATATTAAGCAATTAAAGTCCCATTCTAAAATTTCTCTATTCTTGCATAGCTTAGATATCCTGAAGACAATTATTAATTTTAAGTAGTTGGTATTCATAATCCAGTACTTTTGTAGAAATTGCTGTAAGCTTGTACTCAAAATTAAATCAACGTAGCTTGGAAATCAATCACTCTGTCGTATATCAAAAAGTAGACCAAGCACCACACATGTAGACTTGATTAGCAGGCATTCTTGAAGTTACTCTTTTCTATAAACTGACAAATGAGAAGACAGCCCAGTATGATCTTTTGGTCTATCTATATCTTTAAACTTTCTGACAAATACACTCCTCTAGTAAAATGACAGTCAAGATCTGCAATTCTTTTCCTGCAATGTTTCAAAGCTTATTTCAGAACAGTGGAAATATTTATTTAGATGATGTCATTATATCCCAAAGAGCAGCATATTTCTCAGTGCTATATACTTGTTCCTTAGTATAGGGTACCTAAAATAAAATGACTGTGTAAGGCAAGATATAAATAATAAGAAAAATAACGTAAAAGATGATCGGAGTCAGCTCAGTTATGTGCCATACCAGAATAGCTAATAAGTTCAATACCACCATCCAGACATCTGTGCTGTTAGTTTTCCTAAGCCCTCACAGTAATTCCCCTTGAAACCAAGTACGAACGTTACTTGGAGGGTGCTGCTCTTCCCTGTTCCTTCTCACAGTGGTAAACTTTGAGAGAGTAGGAGGTTGAACCTAAATCGTTTTAGCATGTAATGGTGCACTATACCAGCCTTGGTCTGGTTATAATTACATTTTTTTTCCAGCTACCAATATTCTCATGTATCATCACTGAGTTTTAAAACTGCTCATTACGCAACTCTGTAAACGGTATTTCTGGAGACACCGTGTTTAGTTCACTGAAAACTGTTCCCTTTCTTTGACTGAGTCAGACCACCAAAACAGCACCAAGCAGGCTACCTCCAGAACAGGGAAAGCCTCAAAACCACGGGGCTCAAACTGAACTAATTAGACTTTGAGACAGACTAATTACTTCCAGGGGAACGCCCTTTGCTGGGACTCAGTCCAGTAGCTTTACATGACGCAACCTCTCGGGATTTCTACTCCACCTCATTGCAGGACACAGATAAACCCTCACTGTTCATTCTGCAACCAATGCATTTACAGCAGGCTTAAGAAAAAACCCTACGACACTGTAAATTCAATATGCAAACATACTTTGTCTAATAACTGACATTTTAAAATAGATAATTTTAGTGACTTTGTGCTGTCTCTGTCCTGAGAAAAGATTTCTATACGTCTATCACCAACACACACATATCCACCCAATTCCAGTCTCTGTACTGCGCAGAGACATGCAAGGGGTGAAAAGAATTACTTTTGAAGGTATTCTTCCTAGGAGAGATTAAAAAGTAAATATGATCTTGAATAGAAAATGACCTAGTGCAGCAAAATAAAATCACACTGGTCAGATCACGATTGTAAAGAAAGGAAAATGGAATGGAGATTCAAATACTTCTCAAATGTATAACGAAAATTACATTTCATGCTGCAGACAAAAGTATGGTGGCTCATCCAAATGTTTTCGGAAGAAACTGATGCACCTTTTCTTTTTCTTTCTTGAAAGTTGAGCATGTGCCGTTTTTTTCTCACTTTCTTGGGTTAACCCATCTTTTATAAAAACATTGTAGAATTCTGCCTGATGGTGAACATAAAAAATTGCCATTTTCAGGTTGAAAGCAACAGGTGTAAGTGTTTCTTTATGCACAACAGGTACATTAATTACTTTTTTTTTTGATAAACAGCTAGACTAACGTAGCAAACGTTCAATCAGAAATAAAATGATACCTTAAGACTGGAATATTTTGAATTCAACATTGTGTATGCAGCTGGCAAGAGGAGTCAAGTCAGAGCTGAATCCAGTATAGCCTCAGCAAACACCTCCCTCCCCAAGTCGTACCTCTCCCCTCGCTGGGTTAATGGGCAGCACGGGCTGTGCTCTGCCGCCAGAGCTGGCAGAAGATGGGCACGGTACGGTGAGACCGCGCTTGCCACCGACTGCTCCAACCTGCACCATGGAAGGCAGGAAGACCGTGGAAAGTATCACTCTTCTGTGTTTCTTTTCTGTACGTGACCAGCAATACCTCTTATCCTTAAAAACCCTCGTATCCATGATAAAGATATCAGAATTTTAGGTGACAACCGTCAGCAAAGATTTTGAGGCTCCAAATAATCAAGAATAAACATTATAATTATTTTTTTTTAAAAAGAAGGCATAGCGTGAAACGTTCTACGTATTAAAATGCTGTTTCTGAGAATTAATTTTTCGATTAACGCAGATAACTCTGATAACGGCTGGCAGATTTTGCAGCAAGTATTAAAAGACATCAAAATTTCTACACATATTTGACGTAAAATATTTTATAATATCGACTTAAAAGTGTCACAGCAGAGAAGTTGAACTGTCAGAAAAATGAGATCACTACCGAGTTAAACCATTTGGTCCAATCTTCAAGAAACTCAAAGGCACATACTGCTGTCACAGGCAACAGAAATAGTAGCACCCTAATATATATATTTTTAACAGGCGTTTTTTCTTTTTTTCCTAATAAAGTGAAAAATGTATGCAACATATAGTTGCACCTGTTTGTCTTTAATCCTCACCTCAAACTTCTGCCGGAGCTCAGCATTTCCATCTTCATCAGCATCTGGAATTGGAACATTATAATATTCACCTTCTTCTTGATTCAGCAGCTTGTACCTGTGGACCATTTAAGAAAAACAACGGTGACGTTACAGTTTTATCCCTGTTAGCTTTCAAGCCTGATGTAGTTGTTTGTATCGATGTCACAGGCACGTAAAGAACTGGTTTCAAAGATCTAAAGCAAACTGAGAAATGTAATATATTTAACCTAAAATTAGATCTTTAATTCCAAACTACCTACAAAGCAGTGCAGAGGGCAAGGAAATTCTTGTCACGCTTCCTGCGATACGATGGGAGACCTGAACCCTGAAGAACCTTTGCCTCAAGTGCTTTTGCAGCGTGAAACAATTATGGTTGATGAAATGTACTTTTTGAGATGAGTTCTATCTGTTGCTTGGTAGGTAAGATGGCATTTTATAAAATCGGTTCCCATGTACTTTGAATTTGCAGAGCTATATATAACATGATACACTTAGTAATGAATATATCATATTTGAGATAAAAATAAAATTCATATCACAAGACTATGTACACAGAATTGAGTTTGCAGCAGCTCCTGGCTCCAGCAGAATTTTCATGAAAACCACAAAAAAAGCGCATTCCTTTCATTGTTCTCCATTATATATAGCCTATGTTTCCTAGGTTTAGTTGCTTTTTCAGTGAATTTGTAGCCTGAGATACAGTGAAAGGCTCCAAAAAAGGTAGATTATACTGAAGAAAAATAGTGGGTTTAAACTTTTTTGCGATATACTCTCTCCTTCTCTCTTGTCAGAAACTCTTACCATCCACTGGCTGGCATTTTCATAAGCTCTGACACCCCAAATGAAAGAGATCCCATGAAATCGTTTCTGGTTGTTCGATCCCAGTCCCAGACCTCTACGGATAACCGTCGATCTTTGTCTGTAGGTTTCAATTTACTAAAAAGGAGAGAAGAGAGGAGTTTTCAGCACAAGACTGAAATAAATGGTTCAATACACACAAAGATGCTACATTAAAAGGTGTTAAACTTACAATGTGAATGACTCATTCCAGTCTGGATTCAAAGTAGAACGGATGGTTTTTGTTTTTTGTTTACTTTCATTCTTAGGATCTGGGATGAGCTTCAGTTTAACATAAGGATCTGAAAGTCCGTTTGGATCCATGGGAATTAGGTTTTTCGCTTCCCGCACTGTTAATATAAAACACAGGTAATTTGCATAGGATTAGAAATCACTGTTAAGGAAGCAGCAACATCTCAAACCAGGGTTACTGAAACATGTTGAAAACCAAACCAAACAAGACGTGAAACCCTCTTGTCAGACGGCCCAGAAGAAACTACTTGTTGTAAAATAAGGTTGTGCTTAGCGCTATTTATAAGAACGATAAAGAGAAATGACAGGAGAGAAGAGCAATTCACAAAGGACACGCAGCTCCCAGGCAGCTCTGTTCCTGCAGCGGAATGATTAAATGTCCAAATCTATCACTATAAATTTTTAAGCAGGTAGCACTTCTCTGTGCTTTTATTTCCTCATCAGTCTTAGGTTATACAACTACAGGACTATCAGCCAAACACTGTAAGGACAATAGCCAGATCACGAGAGATTTCAGAAGAGAGGTTATTTGATCCCATCCCTCACTGGAAGGTATCCAGCTAAACTTTCCTCAGATTCACGGTTCAGTACTTGTCAGATGGAATCACTGTAAGCATTATGTCATGGCAGCAACCAAAGTAAAAGAGAAGACAGTTTAACTCGAGCTTTACAGAAACGTTTGGGCAGCTTCTATTTTTACAATGTCAAAAGAAGGCATAAAACGAGTCAACATGTCTCAGGTTGCTGCTGAGCCCCAAAGAGAGAGAGCCGGAAGAGGCAGCACCGCGCACAGGGCACCGCTCCTCCGTCCCTCCGTGGAACAAGGCAGCGGCCGGTTGCGGAGGCATTTGTCTGGGCTCGGCAGCTTCTCGGTTTTAGTCTGGCTGGAGTATTCCAATGGACGAGCAAAGGCAGCACTTCTCCCCCTTGTAAACGGGGGAATGACAGCTTTCAGATCCAGAGAAATTGCCTTCGTTCCCATTTACTCCGAGTTTGCCCTTTGAGGGTCCGTACACTCAGCAGTCGGCTGGAAAACCAGTTCTGTTTTCAATGAAAAGAAACCCCCACCCAATATTAAAATTTAACACACTGAAAGTGATCTTCACATACTTCTGAGATGTAACATCAAGATTAAATAACTTATTTTAGTTAAATATTTACAAGCCCAAAGGGGTTAAGAACCTTAAAGTGATTGAAGGATGAAGTGACAGCATTCAACGCAAACTGCTCATTCTCTCCTATATTTGGTTTTGCATATGAACTATTATTTCAAAATCCACTCTCCGATTTTTATTTCGATAGTTTGGCGTGAGGAGAACTTTCTACAGCTTCCCAGAAACATATACCACTAAGTTTTTCAGTAAAATTCCTTGAACAAAATTGCTTAACTTTAACGTGGCATCTTCAGATTGATCCTTTCTGTTTAAATTTTACCTGGAGATGCTCAGTGTGACACCAAGCAGGATTTTGAGAAATTGGCTGGGTGGATGGAGAGCCACTCTCTGAGCTCCCTGGACAAAGCCAACACCGATGAGCCTTGATACACACTGCTGAGCCTAGAAAACAGCATCGAGCCCAGAGGACACGGCAGCGTGGGCAAGATGACTTCTTTCTTTTCCAGGAAATACAGAAAAAGAACAAAGCCCTCTATATACCAGAAAAAGAGAAGCCTGAAGATGAACTGGGAAGGAAAGATGCAACATATACTAAATACAGGCTCATCATCTCACTCTTTGTTTTAAGATATCTGGCCCATTTGTAGTTTTGTCTGCATAATTAACACGCTTAGACATATTCTTTCAACTGACTTGGCACTTTTCTTGAGGAAACAGCATGATGATACTTACGCTAAATAGTGCTTATAACGAATTAGCAGCTAAGCAGTCCACAGCTCTTTAAAGGCACCCTAATTTTAAGGAGGTGGGTCAGGTTTCAATCAGAGGAAGAAGAGATTTCCCTTCCCCACCAAAGGCACTACCTCTCACGTGTGGTTGAGGGAGAAAAATTTGAATGAAAAATAACTCCAAGAAAATAAATCCAGTTACTGTGACTGAATTCTGCTATGGCTGTAATGGCAGCAAGACATCTCATACTGCTTTATAATTATTAGTTAATTAAACTCAACACTGTGCTAGAGGTGCTACTCTAATGCATAGATGGCTGAAGTGAGATATAGGTCAGCATCATTTGGAGCATAACTTGGACAGAAATCTAAAATGCTACTTAGGCCAGTTTTCTGTCATTACTATTAAACATGATAATGACCTCTGTACTGAGCAAAGTAGCTGGTTCAAGTTACTTTTCCTAACATCTTGAATTGTTGAGTCTCTTAACAGGGATTGAGAAAGCTCACAAAAAAAAGACAGCAAAGAAAAGTATATATCAACGTTTCTAACAAATCCAGCCTTGCCCAGCTTTTCCATCCAAAACCCAGAAATAGTCATCAACTTGCCATGGGGAAAAAATGTGAAATTTTCTTCCTCATCTTTAATAAAAGATCATAAATGTTTATTCGGTAGAAAATGTAGACTATTTGATGACTGTCCTATTACGTGCTACTTATAATCCAGAAGCCATGCCTAAAATGGGGACGCCCACTTTTCCAGGAATAGTATAAAGACATAAGCAAATAGAGAGCTGGTTCTTAGGTATTCATATTTTAAATAAATATCTAAATAAGACAGAGTGGGCTGGCAGAGAACAACTGACATTTTATATAAAAAGAAGAATTTCAGGCAGAATTCTGAGGAATTTGCAGAATGACAAACCAGAACTTTTTCCATGAGATCATCTAGCTCAAAAGCTGCAAGTCATGCAGTGATGGATTTATAACTTGTTGCGATACCAGCAAATAAATCTAGTCATGAGTAAATAAATGCTTTTGTCCCTATAACAAAGATGGATTATTAGCAGCGTGAGTTTACTCAGTTCTTTTTCAAGTGAGTCAGAGCTACCTTTTTCCTGAATTCCCCAATGTTGATAATCAACAGTTCACTAACCACAGCAACCATTTCTTGCCAATCTTTTACTCCCTGCAGGCAACTTAGATGAGCAGAAATGTCTCCACTGCATGCGAATAGCTGCTTTTAGAAGACATCTCAAGTCTCATGCGGTCCCAGCTAGCAAGCTTTCTAGCAGAATGAAAGGAAAAGGAGACCCACACATCACAAAGTTTCTGTCTTCCACAATAAAGCATTAGCAGATAATGCCATAATTTCCCATAACTTCCTGAAGAAGATTCTGGTACAGACTGTGGCGATTTGCCCAGGTCACAGATGACTTAGCTGAGTGAGAGAGGATCCTGCATTCCCAGCCAAGAAGCTCTCTCCCCAGTATCTCACTGCACTTCCCTTAAACACAGTTTAAAAGATTTATCTATTACTGAAAAGAGTCTTCACATTTGTGCACTCTCTGGATGCAAAATCCAAAGCTGCTCAGCTTTCATTAAAGATTTATTAGAAGATTTATTAAAACTATCACCAAATGCTTGCTTTCTGGAGCTGGTTGTGGCTCCCTCGTACAACCCGCTCCAGAACAAATCCTGCTTTTTAGACAGCTGCTTAGGGCTTTCTGATACGAGACCTTTCCCTATTCCATAACTACTCCCCTTCCCAGCTAAAATTTCTTTTAATATCCCCTCTGAGACCGGTGCCTACTCGTTACACCCCATTTCCTGACTCCTGAAAGACGGCAACATCATGAACATTGACTCATGGAACACCGGCACTTCGCAGGGGATTTACACACAAGGAATAACTGATCAATTTCCTTCCTAGAACAAGATGAAAAATGAACCAATGTTGCATGATAATATCTTAATAAATACAGAGGAATTAAGTATCTCCTACTAACAGAAATGTACCATCCTCTCTCATGCTACTTACTAAGTACTTGTGCCTGCAATAGGTTCTCCGGTTTCAATTTCAACTGAAAATCTCACAGGAGCAACTGTATTTTACTTGTAAAATAAGATAAAAATTATCCTCATACAATCTACTGGGTAGGACAGCTACTTAATAAAACATAAGCCTTAACACTAGTCATATCAAATAATCTGAAAAGAGACTCAGACTATTAAATTTCTAATTCTTATCTGTTTATACTCTTAAATATATCACATTTTAGTTTTTTTTTTAATCTGCACACAGATGGCCATTTATGAAAAACTAATATTTCCTTTAAACACTATCATTGCTTATTTCTTCATGGTAAAGTTAATTTAATGAATGAAATGGGGAGCATGCAGTTGCTACCGTGGCTGACATTTGTTAAAGGCACAGCTCTTTCCGTAAAACGCACAGCAACCCTGCAAATCTGGGGATGCCAGAAGACGAAGATATTAGTGAGATAAAACATGCTGTTCACATTCCTTGAGACATTAGAAATGCCTTCCATGTGCAAGTAATTATTTGAGATCACTTTATAGGTATTTGGTACTAAAAGCTTGTCAAATAGCCAGAATATTCACATATGTTCTCTTTTAAAACCAGTTGCAGAATAAAATGAAATTAATGCTAAGACAGACAGATGCTAATTCTGACCTAGACAATCGTAAGTAAAATTGTCAGAGTGTATGTGTGGTTGGGTCTTTTAAGGAAACAATTTTTATGAGAGTCCAGAAATGTGCCAAAATTCTCCAGTTCTTCTGTCAAGCTTGTTTGGGCTGAGGCTCTCAGCCCAGCTGCCCACAGCAAACAGTGATGAGACATTAATATGCAGTGCCATGGGGTGGCTCAGCATTCACACATTCATAAACAATTTGAAAAATGTCCAGTGGGGAGTAGAGAACTCCTGGGGAGGTTATTCTTGGAGAGCCTGTTACGTGCTCCCAGCCTCTGCAGAGATCACTGCCAGGTTCCCTCCTCTTTTAAATAAAAGAAGAATAAAACCACATTTCCTGTATTCTTTCAGCTAAGAAAAATACACCTTAAAAATCCTGAAAGCTCTGGGCTGTGTATATATATATATTTTAATAACATTTATGTGACAGTAGGGTGCATTAGCTGACAGCGAGTCACTCACACTCTCACTCTAAACTGGTGCCTGTGTCGGGAGGGCACTTCTTCATTTCAGCTGCTGTCAAACCCAGCTCCCAGCAACTGACAGGTCACAGTTTCGAATCCCAATAATGTGGCAGCTTTTTATATGTGCACCAGATGGGGTTATTTTGTCACAAAGGTTATTGTTTACTCTCTATAAAAAATGAATCAAAAATAGAATAAAATTTAAAAAAAATATATCAAAACTGTGATTTAACCACCTACAAACTCACTCAGAAGAGCCCCGAATTACAAGATGGGTCAACAAGGAAATGTAAGAGTGGCAAAACCTTCAACGCACATCAGAAGGAAGAAGATTCAGAGCAAAAAGCGTAAATTAAGAATTGCAAAACCTGCTTGGCTATGTCTAAAAGCAAAAAGCCCGAGGCAGTCTAACCTATTAAAGGGTCATCACCTCAGTGCTTTCAGAAAAAAAGCATAATTCAAGACAGTTCCTATAAGAAGAAAACTACCAAGCTGATTTACTGCAAGTGCAATTAATTATTAGTATGCAATGCAACTCTCAAGCTAGCAGCTATAAAATAAACCACTGATATTTAAGAACTGCAACACAAATGAGCACCAATTGTGGCATATTGACTAGCACCGGGGAGACGGCAAGGTTTTGGCAAAGCATACCACCACAAAATTCATACTTATTTGTGAAAAAGCATCGCAGAGTCTTTAACATTTACACTGAAAAGGTTGTATGTCTCCCTTTCAGCACCCAGATTGAAGATCCGACCTAGTAAACTGGAATTAAGTATGTTTGCATATAGGACTGAATCATTCCCACCATTAGTTCAACTCAAAAGCTGCCAAAGTACTCAGATATTTTAGATATTCTGACTGAAAGCCAACTCCATCTGGCAGTACCCTGCCTTGCCTCTTTCCTAGTATTCACTGGGAAATAAATAAAAAACTCACCAGTGCTATTTACAATATTTTATCAGGAAAACACTCGGTTAGCGAGTGTTTACTGTGCCCTTTTTTGGAAACAAAAGCCACCACAAAACCCTCAAGGCAGTTATGCAGAAGTAAAGACAAATGGCAAGGTACTCAACAAGAGTCCCCAAAGGACCGGACCTTGTGGTCACCATTAAGGATGCTTCAGTGGCTTCCCCGGCTGGAACCGGGGTCGTTGATTTGCCCATCGAAGGTAATTGCAAGACGCCAAGACGTGTCTTCGTTGAGCAGTGCAAGTACTTTGCATGCAATCAAGGCGAAAGATCAGCAGGAGCTAATTAACAACCAAAACAGGATGCAGAGCAGAGATATTAAGGAATTCAGCTGAAGGAGCTCAACACCTACAGAGTAAATCCTTTGAAAAAGATCAGGCGAAGGCTCAAACCAAACTGCCAATCACCAAGTATTTGTCCCGCTGCTCCGAAACATTTCATTCACCTCTTTTCCCAAAGCTAAAGGCAGTGGTACTGTGCTTGGCAGCTCTGGCAACTGGATATTGTAAAAAAGGTTTTGTCACGTAATATTTTAGAAGCAATGCCATACTGGGAGAACAGGAGTTCAAAATTTTTGCATTGCAATATGTCCACAAACTGACTGACAATTGCTAATTTCATTTTCAGTTAAATATGCACAAAAGGTCTCTGAAACTTCACCCGGTCTGGGCTTTGTCAGCATAGTATTTTTATTTTTTTTTAAAAAAAACCAGCTTATTTTCAGGGCAACTGTTAACTTTTGTTGAAAGACATTTTCTGAAAGCTTCGAAATGCTGACAAGCCTCAACCCAAAGAAGTTAACAGCACTCAAATACGTAACAAGATTATAGTAAACACTTTTCTTGTTGTCCAGAAGCCTACTTAATTGTGGGACAGGATATATTTTATTTATAAAGACAAAAGTAACAGCATTTACTAAGCACAGCCACACCAAAAAGATCTTATGAAGAAAATGTACAAAATATCTGTAATAATTTTAACACAGTGGTTTCTCAGACAAGAGCTTTTCAAATAAAATTGTCAATTAAAAGAACACCTATTTCTATAATTGTTTTATGGTGCCTTGGCACCACAAAGACTTCTGACAAACCTTTTTGTCCCTAAAAGGATTATAAACCCGCTGAACCATCAGAAAACAAGCACATGTTATTTGTCAAAGTATCTGCATTACGGTGGAAAGTTTAAGCCATTTTAAAGAACCGTGTTGCAAAGAGCCTAGAATAATGCAAATATTAAATTTTGTCACTTGGATGATTTTCAAATGAGTTCTCTCTCCCGGTACAATCACTTTTAGCACCTGCATCACCATCTTTGAAAGGCCTCACTACTTAGTGAAACCACCTTGCAGTTAATGACAGTACCTTGGGCACATTTACCCCTCCTACGCCGAGAGGAAGCTATTTGAAAAGGTAAGCGACAATTAAGTGTCACTTGGGACCCGTTCTGATCCTTCCTAACTCAATTTTATCGTACTCCTCCCTTTCAACGCGTTTTGCAAGGTTTGACAGGAGAGGATGGAGGTGTTTGGATTCAGAGAGAACTGAGCCATGGACGAACACAGTGCCAGGAGGGACGGTCGCTGCTTCCATACGCTGCGAAAATCCAGTGCGAAGCTCTGATTTCCTTTACATTGACCTCAAGGGGCATGGGCTCTGTTGAGACTCATCCCCCAAAGAAGCTCAGAGGTAGAAGGAACCTCCTTTTGGAGTATAATAGGCCAAAACACTACACAACACTCAACATCCAGAGGTTGCCAACAGCTGCATCAAGAAGCAAAGACAGAGATGGTCTGAGAAACCTCCGGCTTTGTCCTGTGCCCTCAAGTTTAATTCCACTTTGCAACAATAAAAGTATTGAATTCTGCTCTTCTTTCACAGCGTGGATACTGAATTGCGGTTCTTGCAGGCCCAATTTTAAAGATGCATCCGTGTACATCTAACGTGATGCATGAAGATCTGGTGCCTTTCAGTTTTCTTCCCTGAAGAAGCAGGGCTGGTCACCTGTGATAACACAACAACTAACCCACTCTCCTGAGGTAAAAGCTTAATTTGTGTTTTATGAGTGTCTTCTACCATTTTTTACATTATATCATAATTATTTTGGTTCTAGCTACTACAGCACATATTAGAAATTTCCTCAAGGTTTTGAGCCATAAAATTTCATTTATTTTACAGACTTGCCTCTACTTCCTTTTTTAATTTCAATTCTGGCCGTCCTCATTCCTGCCCTGTGCTCTCCCCTTGAATAAATACACTGCAATCTGATTGGCAAGGAACCCTTTTTTGCCTATTTGTGCCCAACAAAAGGAAAAATCAATAATAAAGTTCACTATCAACATTACACTTCAGATATCAGATACACCAGTTATCAGCTGATCCCAGCTAAACCAGAAAGCACACACGGAACAAACCTAACATACTGTAAATACAAATTCTGTTGGAGTTAAACAACCTATTACACATTTATTTAGGGGGCCAAAATAGTATTTTAACTTGCAGAATACATTTTCCATTTTTTTTCCTGCAACTTCAGACTTGAAATGGGTTGGGGGAGGGGATGTGCACACAGCCCAGGAGAAACCCTCCCAGGGGACAGGAACTACCACCCTCTCTCTCCTTCCTCCCTCTCCCTCCTCTCCATCTCGCTAACCCTAATCTTGCAGAACGCAGTAATTTATTTTTTTATTTTACAGCTCACTGGGAGTAATATCTGGGATTGAATCCAAATTGCCTTTGTTTATTAAATACTCTGAAATGGAGGAAACAACTCCTCAGCTGATGAGGGTTTAGAGTATTTCTTGTGATCTGCAGCTGAAGGCTGGCTTCCTGAACAGCTAGCTATCCTACTGGGCTGCTTTCTACATAAAAAAAATGGCATTACAGCGAGTTTCTAATTAACATTCCTGAGTTTTTAAAGCTATTACTAGAGTTTTCATTTCCCTCTTTATTTTTATGAACACCAGTTCATAGAGTTTATTGATTCAAGGATATGTTGAATGAAATCCTCACACTTCTTAAGTGAAATACTCAGTTGTTGGCTTTCATACAGAAAGATTTGACCAAGATACACAAACCTTGTGTGTATATTACACATTTATAAAGCCTGCAAAATTCCAGAGTGAGTTGTTTACCTGTTACTTCCAGTTTGTCACCCGTGACTTCAGCTTTCAGATAAATCCTTCCCCTTTTCTCCGTGTGATCCATGCCACAGAGGCTCGGGACGTTTATTACGCATTGCTTATGAACGTTCATATCACAGGCTGTGGATATAAAAATGGTTCAGATAGCTATGAGAAGCTAACAATGTGATCACACCGCAAACACTGAGCAAAGGGAAAGTTAAGATTGCAATGCTTAACTGCTGGCAAGGCTTTCAGATTACAGCTGAATGACATGTCTAGTTTCCATCTCGACAAGACATTTTGTAGACAGTGACACGGAGAATAAAACAATCTGCTTCAGAAACCTGAAGTTATCATTAATGAAGCGAGAGAAAAAAGAAGTGAAGATGGAATAAAGACTTGCTGGAAATATGACTAAGAAAAAAGAGCATTTGTGCCAGCATTAGTAATGAAGGGAGGTAGGTTTAAACTGATAATCAGATTTTTCGAGCAGGAGACTTCCAAGACAAATGAAATACAAGGAAAATGTTGGACCCTGGCTAGCAACTCAACAGAAATTTCAGTCTTCAACAGCGTATTCACCTGATCAGTTCAAAAAGAGGCTTTCTCAAAACTGCCACAGCAAAGGCTCTTCAGCCTCATCAAATCGAATACATCGTGTTCTCAGCGAAAGAGGTGACTTTCATTAGTATATTATTACGGTACTGAAATATCCACTTGAAATATAACAGTACTATAAATAGCTGACATTCAGAATAGTATTTTCCACAGAAAAGAAATAAAAAGCTGTTAGCCAGTGTTTCAACTTCCTTTCTTGAATACCCTTCTGGTAAGACAGAAAACCTTCACTTACTGTCACATTTCATCCCTTGGTGCAGAAGCCCATAAAGCAGTGACCCACAGTGGTCACAGAAGGTCGGGCTCCCATATGTGTGGATCTTAAATTTGTGCTTGCTTCTGGGATCCTGAAGGAAAAAAAAACAGAAAGAGATTCTCAAGTCAAAAAAAAGTAAGATTGACATACGTTTAATGTACTACTTCAAATACCAAAAAACCTTCCAGCTCTGCTACTTACACTACGGAAAAATGTATTTCAGCACGCAGGTTACTGACAACCCTGTAGCAGTACCTACACTGGGGCAGGTACATTGGCCTTGGTTCCTAATTGTCCTTTACTTTGGTGTCCTAAGAATGAGTATGTCAGCTCAGCGAACACAGGGTTGCTCACCTACACTAGACTATTTCAGTAGCTCTGCTTGTTATCCAGCCCGAGATAGGAAATGCAAGCTGCTAACGACCATATTTATTTTGTAAACACAGTTAACCTAAATGGAATGACATCCAACACTCCCGAGAACATCTGTTTCGTTATTTCTTAAGTATATAGCCAATGGGTCTTGTGGTGCAGGGTCATGGGAACATTGCTTTCCTAAGGGGTTATCTGATGGAGTGACTCTCACTCTATGCCTTCCAAAGAATTTAGAACACATTTTCAAAGAATTTTCAAATTTAGAACACATTTTTCCAAAAATTGTTCTGGTTAGAAGACATAAGGGGACTTGTTGCCTTATAAAGATATACACTTAACCATCACTTTGGGAAGCACCTCTATTGCTGAGAAGGACAAAATCCACAGCTTCTAAGAATGACACTGAATAAACAGATTTTTGAGTGGCATTTCTGAGTACAAAGTAATGACACAGAGAGGAAAACTTAAGGAAATTACTATAGGGAATGTCTAGTAAATACACTGAACCTGTGCTATACTGAAATTATATAACAAACAGTACCAAATAATTCCATTCCAATCGACAGAGTATACACGGTAATTAAGTGAAGCAGGGGGGTGTGTGTGGCTTAAAAACGTTGTGACATGTAAGGACAACTATACCACACTCCCTGCAAAGCAGCGCTACATGAGTGGAGGCTCCCATACTCCTCCGTCTTAACTGTACGTAACCACGAAATACCAGCAAAGGCATTCTTATAAAACAATGAAATAAAACCAGTCACATGAATAAATAAGTTGGATCAAACTTTGACCTTGGCCCTGCATGACTCAATGTATATATTCTGAATCATCATTTGCCTTCCACGATAAATGTTTTCTCTCGTTCTGTGAAAATGCCTGCTGTATGATGTGTAATATGAGCAATTCAATATGAATTATTTTTTTTAAAGAGCAGTATGTATGTGCTGCCTATTATTAATTAGTATTCTATAGGCACAGTGAAGTCACGTACTTCAGGCAGAGCACAAAAGAAGAGGACAAAGGAAAAGAGTACCGAAACTACTGGAAACTTCGCCTTTGGGAAATGTCCCTTTTAAAATTCCTTTAACAGAACTAAATAGAAGAACTTAAAAATATCAATCCTATGCATTTTTTTTTTTTTGGTACATTGAAGTAGGCAAAACATCGTTATTTCACATGCAAGTCTGAGAACACATAGAAAAAGCTGAGAGACCTCTAAACACCCACCACAGATGATAAAACCTTTCTACCTTATTCCCCATATTAACATGGGCATGAACCTATAGTTTACACTTTAATAATAAGTAACTCTATTAGCAATAATTACTATGTAGTCAGAACTAATTACTCATATTATTAACAACAATTAACTTTCTAGTTGTTAATGCAATTTAATACTTCCCTATGCTAAATGTGCATTAAGTGACTTACATGCATTACTGAGGAAACAGTCTTTCGTATTTTTCAGGTAGGGGTAAACTACTGAGTTAGAGGTAAGCTCCAGTAAATTTTCTTCAAATATCCCCTTTTAATCAATGCAAACTTCCAATAATTCCCAAAGCATAGCTGGCAGTCATGTTTCATAGTAAACACAGGGACCCAAGCCAGGATATGACAGATGAACTGCCAAATAATGGCTGCTATTTGCAAGAGAATTGAACTTTGCACTAAACTTGGCATAGATTAATTGTGAAACTCCAAAGGGAAAAGCCACTTCTGTTTCCAAAATCCGTCAAAATTATGATGGGGGAACGTGGCAATGGGAAAGCAGGGGGAAAGCACTTGTTCAGCAGTGATGAATGATATGCTCTATTAAAATTCATGTTATTTTCATGCTAAAAAGTGAATTTTCTGCTATTATTAAGCCAATCCTCCTTTTTTATGAGTCAAACCAAATGCGACATAGTATAATTAAATGGGAAAGGAAACTCTGGGCAATCAATATCACAGACATTTAAATATTTGTCTTTGAAAAACCTTTAAATTGGCAGACATCTAGCCAGTGCTCTGCAGTTTGACTGCAGTACAATAGATGGGAGTTTCAGAGCCTGTCATGCCTCGTATGGGTGCAGCAGCCTTGTAAAGATGAGTAGCAGCTGGGCATCTACACCCCATACAGCTCAGAAAAAACCCAAAATATTATTCAGTAGTCTCAAAGCTGAGACACGCTCGCACAGGGAGAGGCAGCCAGAGCACCGGGAGATCTGCGCTCTGCACAGCCCTGCGCCGCACGGGCACATTGAAAGAAAACTGAAGCTGCCGCAGAAACCTTTAAAAAACAAATAAATGCATTTGCAGAGGTGACTTGTCCAACCAGGTAGGCTCTGGCTCTGCTTAAAGGAATCAGGGTTTGGGGAAGGTGGTGGGGAGTGGGGCAGGAACCCCCACACCAGGAAACACAAGAACGAGGAGGCATCTCGCCAGCCTCACAAGTGTTTCGCTCTACGCGCTGCCGTTGGGCTACGGTGTGCCCCGTGCAGCAGTGCTGCCACTGTCCCTGCCTTCCCCCTTTGTTTAGCACAAATGAATCCATTTCTTTTATTGAACAGCAGCGGAAAGCACCCCCCTGCGAGACATCATCCCATAATTTTCCTGGATCAAAGACAGGGGTGCGCAATAATTGAAAGCGCATGGTTAACCAGCACACATGTCAAACCGTGCTTTAACAGCTCATGAGCGTTGTATTTCTGAATTCTTTCTAAAAGCTCCCTTTTGATTAGAATTTTATTCCCCTTGATAGCAACACTGATCCGACTATAATTTTGCAGGCATTAAACCATCAGATTGCTTTTGAGTATAAGACAAACAAAAACCAATTTGTGTGAGCTTGCGTCAGTGGAGGGTTTGTATACAAAGCAGCATCATGTTATTACTCATTAAAGTCCTTTCATGGTATCTGACTTGATAGTATCAATAGCTGTGCCACCAGAACCAGGTATCTAAGACCAAAACCTCTGAAACTGTGCCCACATTGTCTTTAATTTGGCATCTTCTAAGTGACACAGCTACAACCGGTGAGATTTTTGGAGGGGATTTAAATCAATACCGCAAGAAGATCTGGCAGTGCCAGAGCCTGTACAAGTGATCAAGGTGGGGGGTAAAAATAACTGTTGTCATTGATACCAACACACAAACATTAACGAGGTGTTAGGCAGGATATAAGCTTGCTTTCTTTTTAAATTGCCCACAGTTAGTGAAAGGGTTTTTTTTTTCCCTGCTATTTTTGTGAGCATTAAGAAGCAGAAAATGCAAAAATGCGAGTTTAAAAATATTTTTGGAGAAACGGAAAATTACATTTTCCATTACAAAAATAACTTAAAGGAGTTCTGCAGCAGATGACCCATAAGGTCTTATGGTTGTATCAGAGCCTACAACATCAGAGAAGAATTTTGTATAAATAAAAGCAAATGCACCCAGTGTTCCATTTCCTACCTCCACGAAAGAACCACAGGACTGTTCTTCATCCCCAATCAAACACAAATGTATTCATTTACTAGTTTAAAAGGTGTAAAGGAAAAGTAAGCTTAAAACATCCTAAATTACTTCACTTAGACAAAAGAAAATATATTTTCTGAACCTTAATACACAACCCTTAAAAACTTCCTACTGCATAAAAAACATTCAATCCTACATCTTGCTTTGTCTTCCCCAAATGTCTAAAATATCGACTGTAAGGAACGCTGCTCTAACAGATCAACGAAACCACTGCAATTTGTACTGCATATATTTTACTTAAACCAGCTTTAACTTCCCCAAGCGAATACCAAGTTAATAAAACATATTTAAGAAGAACCGAGCGTGTTTTTCTCTGTATGGAGCCAAATCCCACATCCATCCCACGCTGTCCTCGGGCAAACTCCCCATTCCTTCATGAAAGCCCTCAGACTCCAGCTTTTCCAAACACCTTCCATAGAGCAACTACAACACCCAGTGCCCCAGTCAGACACCATGCCTGTCTGAGCAATTTTCTCCCGTTCGCTAATTATTTTCCTACAGAGACAATGAAAATCTTGCTTGGTGATTTGCACGGCATGTTGATTTGCGAGAGCAGATTCAACCTCAAGGAGCTGCGAGAGCCAAGGAGCCAGATGCTCCTACTGGAAATAACTTCCAGGGCTTAAAATACAGCTGCTACGATCAGAGCCCCGAAGCAAGGCAAAGCAAAAAGTCACCTTTTAACTGGTCACCATCTTTGCTCTTCCCTGATGGAATGGGGCTGTGTTCACAGGAAAGGGAAAGCAGAGAGACTCTGAGTTTCTTGGGAGTGATTAAGATCACATCCCTTTTTATTACAAAAGGTGCAAATGCTTAAAGTTTGTTTGAGCTGCAGTATAGAAAAGTTTTGTTGCTTTCAGCAAAATGCAATAGGAGATAAGACTTCTCCTGCTAAAGAATCAAAACTATGACACAGAAGGGGCACAGAGGCCAGCCCCTGGCTCAGGGCAGAGCCAACCACGGATCTGTCAGGTTTTGCAGTGGTTTATGGGGTTACTCCTCCTCAGCTGCAAGATGCAATAGAGTTCTAAATCTACTTGTCAAGCACCCCCAAAATAATTTTCCATGGGTTGACAAGTAGCTGCTCAGAGTGTGTTCCTGAAGCGGAGGAGATCAATGACATAACCATGTTTTTTTATGGGGTAAGGAATTACAAACTGACTCTTTCCAGAAATCCTAACCCCAGGCAGACCGTGGAGTTTTCCCTGTTTGGGGGGA